TAACGAGAACCCGGCTGAAATCTCTCTCCGCTCCAGCCACAGCCATTGATTTGGACTTAATCTGCTCCGCGTGCTCTGCTCGGCGCGCGTGTAAATGCGCGTGTGAGGGGAGAGGATGCACGTCTTCAACTCAAACTGTTTATCATGGTTTATGATTTAGTGCCAGCACAGGTCGGACTTCTAGTTGGTTTATATAATATAACTTTAAGTTGATAAATAGCCACTAGTTTGTATACAATGTAAGACTTCTCACAGTACAGATTCTTTCATAAGCATTCATTTTTTTTGCCTTTTAACATACACCACCATAAAAGGCTAAATTTCAGAACTGTCCCTATACACACCTGTTTGAACTCTTAGAAGAAGACCAGAGGTTTACACACACCCTGCTGTTGGGAACAGCATGGCTCCAGTCATTGATAAAAACTTGGACATGGTAATCCACCACTCTTCTTGTACAACAGTTCATGGAGCACTGCGGCGCATGTTCAGGCCACAGAATAGAGCTCCAGGCTCCAGGCCTCAGACTAAACTGGTTGCACCATTGCCCATGGTCCATTGGCTTCATGTGGCCACCATCTTGGTAAATGTCATTTATTTGAATGACTGTGTTTTAATGAACAGCTACTGCTGTAAGTAAGTAAGTAATCTTTATTTACTATATAGTGCGGAGTGAGAGACAAAGCTTTTTAAAATTGTTGTCAGCGGGACTCCTCACCCTCCTCATACGCATACAGAAAGCCCAATACAAACCAGAATTAAAAAAACACAGGTCTTACTGACAAATGACAGCTCTCAACACCGCACAACCATGTCACTGAACACGGCTGAGACCAGGACTTTTTTAATGTTTATGTTTTTTCAACTCTTCTTGTAACTTGAAAGGTCACATTTGTGAGGCCAATGGAGATCAGTACGACTATATCTGGCAGCAGTGGGGACATTTACATTTACATTGAGTTGTAAAGAGGTATAAAACTGAGGATTAATAAAAGAAATTTATAAATATGGACTTAAATCAGTAATTTATCGTAAACATTTGTTGAGCTAAATCTCTTGCAATATTTCAAATATTAGTTTATTTATGCCGTTTTTCCAACGAGCCAATGAGAGCATTACAAATACAGGCAAGGCAAGTTTATTTGTATAGCACAATTCATACACAAGGCAATTCAAAGTGCTGAACAAATATATAGTTACAATCTCTTTTAGACAGAATTGAATGTAGGTTGTACTATACATTATGGGCTACACATAAGTTACAACATACATATAAGTTACAAAGATCTAATGATAAATTATTTTATTTGTTATAGTCGCTGTGGCTTTATTAGAAGCATTTGTGGTCACACAATAGTTTTTTTTTTTCATCTATAAGGACATTGATCATGATACCCAACTAAAGAATCAATGTTTAAAGTGCCTATTGACTTGATTGATTTGGTTGGCTCGATTCTGAAGCTTGTGGAAAACACGATACAGTGATGCATTCTGGGATTCAGGTACTTTATCAGGACGGTTAGAGCTGTGTTAAACTATAAACCAGTGACATTTCTGGCCAGAATGACTCACCGGGCAAAATCCTCTTGGCCCCTGCTCCGCCTGCACATGGTACTGTGTGTTATTGGTCTCGACTTGGTTCAATCCATTGTTTACTCCACACAATCAGACTTGCAATGTGTTGAGGGTGCCAACAAGGGTATTTCTGTTTCTGATTTATATGTAATTGTCAACAGAGATGACCCACCCCCACTTCCTGGGCAGAAATACATTAAATACTTGTAATCAGAGATGAAACAAGTTAAGATACGATAGAACTATACAGTATATAAGATAACCTTAATTTGTTCCACAGTGGGGTAATGTGTTAGGTGTTATGCTTAAATATCTTAGCTGAAGTGTCAAACTATAATTAGGAGAGGATACAGTAGTATGAAATGGGACAGTTGTGGATGGACCATATCTGAATGTTCTGTGGCTCCGGGTCATACATGAAGTGTCTGCTGTAGTCTCTGTGGGAAACCAGGGGCTGCCTGCTTCAAAGCAAAAAACAAACAAAAAACTCTCAATTTTATGACAATTTCACATAGATCTGTCTCTTTGCTCCAACATATCTATGTGCCTCCCCTTTTGAGTCACATGCATTATTCTAAAATATTCAACAATTGCAACCCAATTTTTTTGGTTTTTCTACTTACATATTTATTTAAGGTAAATTCTTGGAACACTTAATGTTCAAAATGTCTCTCTTTTCATTTACATGTCATGTAATTATGCTGAATTGTGATGGAGCATCGGCCTTATCTTGTTTTAACTTTTTTGAATGAAAGCAGGTAAAAACATAATCATACATAATACACCGTGTTTGTACTGTTTCTAGCTAAACCCCAGCAGGTGGTGTGCATCAGTAATCATTGCTATGGAGCATGTGTCATAGGTTGGAAGACTCTGGCAACCAAAGTTGGAACCACTAAGAGTGTCACAACCCACTGTCCAACTACTGCTGCTTAAAGTCTTCATTCCTTGAGAGCTAGTGTCGTGTGCGTGAGTATGTTAAAGTGCAGGTTTGGCTAACTGGTCTTTTTCAGATGTTGCATAATGTAAGATCCAGGACCACTCCATACCTGCCTCAGTCTTGTGGTGGTGACCTCTGCTTGTGTCACAAAGAGGATTGATTCTGTTTTGTCCAGCAGTGTGCGTCTCCCTCTCCGTGGACAGACTGCTCCCTGCATCTATTCACTCTTCATGCTGCTAAATAAAACACATTTAAGAGTAGATAAAAAGAGGACCTTCATATCATTATGCGCAGGAGTCCTCTTTTTTCAGTAAAGCAGTGTTCAACTTTTCCTCGTCACGTAGTAGATGACGTCAACGTCCGAAAAATTCTAGATATTTTAAAAAATATAGTTGTTGGATTATAAGAATAAAGTCGTAATATTATCAGTTGCAGTAATAATAAATCAATTTTATATAGCTGTTTTACAAGCACTCAAAGACGCTTCACAGTTCAGGACACACACATACACAATGAGACCGACACACAAAACTAAAAATCAAAACGCATGAATAAAGAGTACAATGCTGAAGTTAACAGTTGTATGCTTGGAGGAAGAAGTGAGTTTTTAACTGTTTTTTGAAGGAGTTTAGTGAGTCTGGGTTTCTGAGGTGAGGGGGGAGAGAGTTCCAGAGAGTGGGATCAGGAATGGAGAATGCTCGGTCCCCCAAGGTTCGGTGCTTGGATTCGACAGTGGGAGTGAGGATATTTGAGTCTGCAGAACTGAGTAGGAGAGCTTTGTAGGTGATGAGGAGGATTTTGAAATGGATGCAGTGGACAGGGGTGATGTGTTCTCTGGTGCCAGTTTGAGTGATGAGGCGGGTGGCGGAGTTTTGGACATTTTGCAGTTTCCGAAGTTCTGATGAAGGCCGTATAAAAGACTGCTGCAGAAGTCTAGTCTGGAGAATATAAATGCATGGATCAGGGTTTCAGCGGCGGTGGAGGAAAGGAATGGGCGAATACGGGCAATATTTTTAAGATGATGTTACGGAGGTGGGGCTTGGAATCACCTTTGACCCCACCCTTTCTTTCAAGGTTTCTGATCTGTGCAGACAGTGAGATGGTGTGGATTTCGATGGAGAGTGCCTCATTTCTGGACATTGGAAAGGAGGGATTTGGGTCCGATAATAATTATTTCTGATATTTTGCAGTTTTTAATGGAGGAGACGGTGGCAGGGGGTATAGATTTAGCGGAGAGGTATAGTTGAGTGTTGTCTGGGTAGCTGTTGAATTTGAAATCGTTATGGTGAATGATGTGGCCAAGAGGGAGGATGTAGAGAATAACAAGGAGGGGACCAATGTGTATCTTTTTTTTAACTCAAATATTGTTTGACATTTTTTAAGTTCCTCGTCCAATTAACAGAGAATAAAAGGGAACCAAAGTGAGGCCTGTTGTCCAAATGAACTGAAGTCCTGGTCTTTCTCCGCTCGGACTCACTCACGGGACACACACTGGACTAAACTAGGTAGCCCAGAGCTTTTGGGAATTAGTGGACAGGGATTTCACACAGAGAAACGTCAAGATGTTACGTTGCACATTTTATGAGTTATGTGAAGCGGTGAGGCGTTTTTTGGTACCTGCTGCGACACAGCTAGTCCAAAATCACAACAATCACCAACTTCACAACCTTGCCTATCTCCAATAGATTCATAATAGACTGAGTTTGAGAACGCTGGAGGGTTTGGTTGTTACGGTATGGATATTTTATAACACTTTTGAGCAATTTTGGTTAAAACTAAGCTTGTCTAATAACACTATGCAGGCGCTGGTGGTTTTTTGCTTGATGTGGTATGGGTTGTGAGGCAATTTGTGTTGCTTTGTGTAGGAAAGGCGCTCTACAAATAAAAGTTGATTGATTTTATTGATTGTCATCTGAGTTATCTGAAGGCCGAAGCTACTAGCACCATGGCAGCTGCGGATTGCAGCATCTACGATTCATCCATTCTTTAAGATCACTTGCATTCTGAAAATCTTTGGTCTTGTTATTTAAAATAAAACATGTCTTTTGTCTGGGACACGACCCCAGACCCCCGCATCATTTTGTTCAATGGTTAGCTATGCTGTGGAAGAAATGATTGCATTTGAATCTTTAAAATGTTGGTATAGCCACAGTTTGTTTATGAACTTCACAGACGGGCATCCTGGTGGAGCTTGTGGGTATGGGGTCATGTGAGTGAAGGTCCGCAGCCAGATACCCCTCATTTCTTCAATTTCCTTTCCTTTGAGAACAAGGCTCTCGAAGAAAAGAACATTTTCAGAAATCTTTTGCAGTAATACTCAAACATCACCATAAAGCCATTTTGGTCACTAATCTCACTATAGTTTGAAACACTGCCAGTGCTGGTGTCCTTGCTCTGGTCTGGACCGTGCTGCTGTTTCTTCCGTGGTCTGCGTTTTACAAGCAGCATTCCTTGCCGCTTAACAATTGGGCTGCATCAGTGGTTGCTATCTCGCGCCGGAGGAAGGAGCAAGGGGCCAGCCTCGTGCGTGCGGGGGCATTCGAACGGTGTGTGGGGGAGGGGCTCGTCTGCTGGCAGCCAGGGCAGGCAGATCAGTGCGGCTCAGTGTCTGCGAGGCGCTGATAAGATTCCAGGATTTTCCCAGTGTGACAGGCCTGCTCACCAAACCGTGCACCACCACCACGCATGGGGAAATGTGCCACTACACCACCTGACTCCCCCAAAACACCTCAAACCGGAGCAAACACAAACTATGTTTAGTTCAACTGAGGATAGTGAAAGTATTGACTCAAATTTGATGTCATCAATGAACCTCAACAATTTGACTTTACCAGTAAATCCTGAAAGGTTAGAGCATTAGACTACAATGCAAACCTGAAGTTTACATAAACTACTCATGGAAATGTAGTAGTATTGGGCTTTTGGGAGAACTGTAAAAGAAATGTAAAAGGTCCCTTCAAGGTCCATGAAGGTCCATTCATGATCTCAGGGTACGAGATCCTAAAAGATGGGCGTTTGAGTAGAATTTGGTGAACATTTTAAGAAAAGCAAACCCCCTAAAATATGGCAATGTCTCAATGACGTTGCCCTTGAGCATCGAGGTATACAGATGTTCTGCACTGACACAACCACACCTGCCACCTGCCACCTGCCACACCTAACTCACACCTGATTTGGTGACCACTGAGGCTGGTGCATGGCGCTCGCCAACATTGTTAACGGTCGTCATTTCTGTGGAACATGGTTTGATTTCCATCTGAGATCAGCACTGAGGCCCCTTGGTCTTGTCCGATGTAAATGCTCCATCACAAATGTAATTGGTTGATGCTGCTGTGCCTGATGCTGCTGTGATCCGGTACCTGAGCAGGCTGTAGACCACTGTATTTAAACAGTGTGAATGTCGTGACGTGAGACATGGAGCACTCGCACTTCTCTCACATGTGGCTGGAGGAGAGTGGCATTGATCTTCTGATTCTGATGGGCATTGTTTACAACAATGCAGTCCTCAGTGTGTTTCTGCTGGAACCTGTAGATGACACTCTGGGACACTCGCTCAGGGGCCATTTCAGTCCGAGAACCTCACTATGGTGGAATGCTGTTAGACGTTCCACCATAGTGGAACGTCTGGACGTTGAAATGTACAGTGCATGAGGTGGAGGATGGTTTAAAGACCACTTTTAATTGAACCAGAAAATCTATTGATAATTTCATGGATAAAAAAATATTTTATATAAATGCAGTTATAAAATTGTGCAAAAAGCTCAGAAACCCTGAACTGTTTGACACATGCATTCAAATGTTTAGACGTCTCATTAAGTTCATTGTTTGATGTTGTGCATTTTAGTTTAATTCTGAAAATATCCTTCAAAGGCCACCTGCTTCTTTTAGATCGCTAGAAAAAGATAAATGACATATGTTGAGTGCTGTCATTAGGCTCTCTGTGAATGGAATAGTCTGCCTCATTACATCAGGTGTTCTCATTAGTAACACATTTATAAATTAAAAAAGAGTAGGTTAAATAAGAGATGTACTGTATGTAACTCATTTATTCAAACTTTTGTTTGAGTCCTTATTGAATTAAACACCCATTATAATCGAATCATTCAGTCAGAATTGTGCAAAAAAAGTACAAACCACAATGATGTGTTGAACAACGTCTGGAGAAGGACACATTAGGTTCACCTGTGAATAATGTGCAAGTAAATCTTGAATAACTTATGGTTTCTAGTAGCAATAACCTTGCAACAAACTTTTTAAACTTGAGAGAGTTTGCTCACGGAGCAAAAACCAAGTGATTCAGCTAAAAAGGATATTTGGAATTGTACAAATTGTGCTTTTAACCCGACAACCAAACCAATAATGTGGTAACAATAATATTGCATTGGTTTCATATTGCCACGGCTGCAGCTGCCCTGGGGCAGACCGACTGGTGTTCCTTAGTTAATGTGGGTCACAAGCTGATTTCAAGCATAATTGGGCGGCCCGCACCTGTTAAGTTTGGAACCTCTGCTCCAGAGAACTAACTAAACCAATAGTCATTTAACTCAAAGAAGTTAGACCACTTAGTCTACAAGGAGAGAGTTGGATAACAGTATTATACATTCAGAAACACCTACATTTTTGGGCTACAATTGATTATTAAAAATGGTACAGCTGGAATATAATGGTGCACTTCTGTTCAAGACATAAATGTGTAAATCAGAAACTCAATGTACGAGTTCATGAAGTGAAATTACAATTGTTTTAATAGCTTTATAAGGCCTGGAAGGCACACACCTGAACTCTGGAAGCATTAGAAGAAGTATACAGACTGTATTTCAATAGCCTGCATGTCTGCATGTATTTTTTTTTTATAACTGTTTAAAATATTTTTTTATGGACATACTGTATATGGCCACTATATCTCATTTGATTTTATCTTTCACTTTAACTCAGGTGAACCAGAAGGTCATTGAAGTCAGTTCTGAAGAATCAGATCTGGGAAGCATTTTTCCCCAAGTGAACCATGTGACTGTAACTGTACTTTCATTGAGGTTTGTGGTGCATGGGCCTCATTAAAACACACTGTGGTAAATATCATACGCTCTGAATAACTATGTTTGGCCTCAGATTAGGGTTTATTTATTTTCAATAATGGTGAATGAAAAAAAAAAAGGAGTCCTCTTCAGTGAACATGTTCTGACACCAGTGCATGAAGTACTTTTGAAGGCGTGGCTGGGTGTGGCTTCAGGTGACATTGGAGCAGCCAGGGCTCGGTGCTGAAACTGTGAGTTATTGAAGAAAAACACTTCTTTAAATTTAACAAAAACATTTTTGTCATGTTTTTTTTCTTCTACATCTACTGATCCTTTGAAACCAACCTCCCTCACTCTGCCACTGCGTATACTTTGTCCCTGTAAGATGCATATGTACAGAGGACGAGCTCGGTGAGGCAGGCCCCTCCTCAGGATGGCAGGTCAGCAGTGAGCTGCGCGGCTCAGAGGAGGTGAGGACGCCGCGGTGCACATTAATAATGAAAGGCCTCAGCCGCCCCCCAAACACGCACACTTTCATTGCCATGGCGATGGCACCGGCCCAGCGCTGTCACCGGGGGGAGCAGGGAATATAGCAGCGCTCCGCTCGCCTGGCCAAGCCGATCACAAGCTTGTACACAGACCTCCATACTGGGCTGCGTCTCACTTATGCACTAATTAAAGCCGGCCAGACTGCACCAATCTGCATTTACTCCTCCACCTGAATAAGGGTAGGCACCACCTGTCTGAGACGTCGAAGGACACACACCGAGGCTTGTTGCACCACCAGTACCAAATAAAGTGGGAAAACGGGTTAGTATGAGATGATCAGAAGCCAATAGATAGCTTGTTAGTGTTTTAAATTCCTAAAACATATGATGATGATTATGGCTGGTAATGTTATTACCAGCACATCCTGCTCATAGCATAGTGTGACTTCATAGGTTGAATATGGACAGAAGTGTTTAAAGAAAGAAACAGTTATTTGATTTGGTGGAAAACGTCATGTTTTCATTTGGTCAAACCTGCTGTTAAAAAAACAACATGCTAATGGACAAGTAGGCTAGACAGACATCACTGTAACTTTTTACACAAATACATGCATTCCTCTTTATTCACAAAACCAGTCCAATCTTCTAAACAAATACAAAGTTATTCTTAAAAGCTGTAGCTATCCAGCAACATAAAAAACAATGAAATCAACCAATAATAAAAATGTCGTCAGTGCGTTCAGTAGAGGAGACTCAAGTGCTGTCTCTTAGTGCTTTTGCCCTGAGCAGTGTTGGCACGTGCTCTTTGGGGCTGTATAGAAACAGCCAGTTTAACAGTTTAACAAAGAAAAGAACTTGAGAAATGCAGAGATGGGCAGATTTTACATTACAGTAGTGACAATCCAAAGTCATTCACAAATCATGTTCAACATTTTCAAACAAGAATCAATCTGAAAAATAAAATTGAAAATGAGCAATGAATTTTGTTGAAGAAATACATTAAGGTTTGCCACTAAGGTTGTTTTTTAAAATATAGCTATAAATTTACATTCTCTACACAAGTACTGTTCTTTTCCACACATGAACAACAAGAACACCGAACACAGAAATCAGCTGATTGATTGTCCAAACTTTGTTTCCATTTTATGTTTAACTGAAAATAATAATAAAAAACCTGCTGTAAAATGAGACAAAAATGTACCAAAATAGAAAAAGGGAATGAATGTCAAAAGATGCATTATTACGATTCATTTTTGGTTCAAGGAATAAGTAGGTGCATCCATTACCAAAGAGTTTTTGTAAATTTTCAAACATTTCTTTCTCTTCTTTTTGTCTCGTTTTAGTTTATTAGCCAGTGTCTATTTCTGGAGACAATCCAAGAGTTGGCATTGCACTTGATGGCGGAGCTTTGGGAAGGGAGCGCAGGAGGAGGAGGAGTCCTACTGGAACCACCGGAACGCCGCCCCCGTAGGAAGCATCACCTTCTTGGAACAACACAGGACACAGGGGGGAGAAACACAGGAGGGGAGAAACAGGGGAGAAGAGGGGAAGCAGAAGTTGTTAATACAAATAAACACTTATTTTCTGTGTTTGCAAATAATAATTCCTCCCCAGACGCATGCATGCAGTTCACAAACACTTTCTGCCCCGAAAAAGACCCAACCACGAAAGAACCCACGCTCAACCCGAGTACTATGGCGATATGCGACATGGTGAAATGAATGGGGGCCTATGGAGAGTGAGTGAGTGACCCAGATGTCGAGGTGATTGACGAGCGCGTCACCACGACCAGACAATGTGAAAGTAGGTCCCAACAGAGCCGCCAACCTTGGTCTGATTTACACTTACTGGCAAATAGTCTGTGAGGAGGCAAATAAGTCCTGTGAAAAAAAGTTCAAATGGTTGTGTTGATGAGTGGGCTTTTTTGAGGAACATGGTATAGTGTCTCAAACAGAGTGCCAGTCAAAATCCTCAGATAGATTTGGAATACCTGTCCTCCTCCTCGGTTCTGAGTGCAATAGTACGTAATTGTGCTAAAATATAACAATGCAGTTTTGAGATGACATCCTTTAATTCACAAGCAAGAAAAGTTATCTGAATGATCTCATCTGCAAACGTACAGTATATAGAATGTATGTGCGGCCACAATCTTTTAAGGAAAATGTTGTAAAGCCTTTGCAACAATAACATAATGGGCACAGCTTTGCCTTTGGGATAGGGGTGGGCGATATGACCTAACATTCATATTGCGGTATAATTTGGGTCACAGACGGTAGACGGTATATATTGCGGTATAATTTGTTGTGTGAAGGTCTTGCAGGTTCTTGCATAAAATAGTCAAGATTGTTACTTATTTATATATTAGAATGTAATACATATATATATATTTTGTTTGAAAATCAGGTGTGTCCAGTCAAAATCACCAGTATTTCATCCAGTATTTAATACATTTTCAGCATATAATATTATTCCATATTAAAGAGACACCATGCTTTTGAAATGCAGATTGAACTGAAGACCCTGTGGTTAGTGGGTAGGGCCAACTTGAGAACAGAAAAATATGGGACACCATTTGGGTGGATCCGGTTGGCACTTTTTAGTCCTAATTTCAATCTACTCAGGAATCATGGAATTTCATAATCAGTTTTTAGAACTTCACTACACATAAAAAAACAAAACAAGTTCTTAGTGAAAAATGAAATTAAATAAACAGGTGGAACTCTTTGGCTGGTTAAGGACTTAATGCATGCTTTTTAGTAAAGAGACTTCAGTAAAAGCTATTGTTCGTTTACAAAGCTGGTGTTGACATTTGTTGACACTCCCTAAGCGCTTTTCCCCGGTGTTTGCAGCGAAGGATTTCTCTGCATTAAAATAGCGCATTGGATTTGAACAATCAATGTAAATGTGATCATTTTGACACAATTACTTTTGTTTAACAATGTAGCTTTCGTGAGCTATTGACCGCTGAAGTCCGAATCTGACGCTAACATTTGTCAAACTTCTGCCACGCTGAAGTGGCAGAAGTTGTCAACATAAGCCCATGGATGTGATCTGGGCTAATGCTGCTAGGCTGGGCTAATGCCGGTTGTTGTGGTGCTTTCTCCCGGCGTCACAGCCTGTGCTAGCTTTAGCCAATCGGCGCCGGGTTAACCTCCGTTGGGCCCCGTGCAATTTGATGACATAATGAGCAATCGCAATATGCCGCGATAACAAAAATCTCTACCGTTGGCCAAATTTGTATTGCATACCGCTTAAACCATTCATATCGTCCAGCCCTACTTTGGGATATGGTGCAATAGAAAGGAGAGTATGGGTGCGATTTCACTCCAAAAACACCAGTGGGTACAATACAATAGCCCGCTGTTTTCTATGGTGGAGCAGTTCGATCAAGGCTAGGGCCGTTCATCGCCACTTGCGGTTATTTTGATCATTTCTGTAGTATAGGCTGATTTATAACATTTTAAGTTTGGTCAATCCATGGGTAAAGAATTTTAAATGTGTCTGTTTGATGCTGTGAATGTGTTGCTCTGTGAGGAGCTCGTCCTGTGAGGAAATGACTGAAAATAACTCCAGTGTTCTGGTCAGTGCACCACATGGGCCCAGTGACACTGTGACTTCATCCAGTGTGTATACAAAACAGATGCTGATTTACTTTTCACTTCGCCATATCGCTTGAAAATCCATGCAACAATATTGGCAGCAAAAACTATCAACAGAAAATCAAAGGGTGCTTTTATGAATCTTGTGGCACTTCCATCCCCAGTTACTCATTCACCCTGAACTATTGTACATGTTTCAGTGGTAGGGGAAACCGGCACACCCGGAGGAAACCTACACAGACACGCGGAGAACATGCTAACTCCACACAGAAAGGCCTGGAAGTGGAAACACAGGACCTTCTTGCTGTGAAGCACAAGTGCCACTGTGTTGTCCTTTAGCAACATACTCTGGTCAAATGTCAGAATTAGCTGTTTTTGACAACCAATTGACAGCACAGGCAACAAAAAATCTTTCAATTCCCTTGCAAAAACCATTAAGCTTGAATTGTGAACTTTTATATATACCCATTTTGAGCACAATGTGCATTGCTCAAATAAACAAATAAACCCATTATACTATTATTAATACAAAGGATATTATATATATAGATGTTTTCTGCCAATAATATTAGTTGGCGTTTCCTAAACAGACTTATTTGTGAATCTGATTCTCAGCAGCTAGCGAGCCCTCAACCCCAGCTTCACACAAAACCTGATATACTGCATTTATTATTTAACTAGTGCACACGGGGCCTCTCCAGCCTCTGCGATGGTCATGTTCCCACCCCCCGTATCTCCTCCGTCTTCATGTGGGAGAAGTCACACTTCTGCACATGGCGGCCCCTCCATCACCGCTCACTGTATTGAGGCTGCCAGTGGCTTCTCACAAGGTGCAGCTCAATCTTGCAGTAGCGTCGTCTCGTCCAATGGCCAGTGCCGCTCAGAGCTCAGCAAACATTTATGCACCCACACACACTCTTGCGCCGATCCAATATGTATTCAAGCGCAGTCGCACACCTCCACTCGCCGAGGTACGACAAACTCACAATACTCCCACCCAAATCACACCACACTGACAACTTCTCCGGCAAGCAGCGTTCAACTTAGAAACTGATTAGGTTTATACACTCACAATTTACACTGAAAGTCCTGTCAAATGTGATTCATAAAATCAAAGCTGGATAGAAAAGAGTGTTATCGTGGATTATGTTGGATCTAAAAACAACCCAATGGACACAATATTGAAATAGTGCTAAATGTAATCAATAGTGTATTGTAAATCTATGTTTTCTGTGAGTGGGTTTCTAAATATAGTTTTTTTTGTTAACAATGGCTCAATATTGAAAATGTAGGCGGTGTTTGGCATTGCAACCAATATATTTTCCACATTTTCCCGTAGTATAAATGTGTTTGTATTTGGTGCTATCATTTGTTCCTTTTAAACAGGCTAAAATATCACCTTTCTGTTTAACCCGTTTATTTATTTATAGCATGGTCTGTCCATACCGTATATCTGAATGTTGTTGTCTGCATGCTGAATTGAATTAATTTAAAGCTGGGGTATTCCAACTAAACTTAAATAACACTTGTATTGTCCAACAGAAAGAGGGTATTGTGTAAACGTAAAATGTTGTGAACAAATCAAACCATATTATGCTGTCTCCATCTAACTAGACCTTTATCTTTTGCTCTCAGCCCAAAGCTTCAAACAGTGACGCTTTGGGCTGAGAGCTGATTGGTCGAGAGTGGGAGGTCTTCTATTAATGAGAAAGTGGATCTTGAGATGTGACAGAGTGCAAAATACACGCATGTGAAAAATACAGATAGAACCAAATTATTTTTTGTAAATAGGTGCCCAGCTTTAAATGGCTCAAATAATACTCTACTAATTTACAGTCTTGGCATCATCTGAATCTTGATGTAGTTTTGCTCTATAACTTAACTATTGCTGCAGGAACCAATCAATAAAATAAAAAAAATATACACAATAACACTTCTTTTTCTCCTTTCTCCACACACAGATTTGTTAAAACGGGATCTTCAAATTGTTAAACTGCACTGAGGGAATAACAGTGAAAACCAGTAGTAGCTTTGGCAGCTCGTGCTCATGTAGCAAAGTCTAAATTATGAGTTTCTTAACAAAGAAGCAAATGGCCTATTAGTCTGCTTAAGTTTGTTTGAAACTAAAAACACGAGCGGCCCTAATTACTTTTCTGAACCACTTAAACCATCGTCTACATTTGAATCAGCCACGCATTGTTCTTTTAAATGCTTTTGTTCCAAAGCGAACAGCAGCAGGGTTCAGGCTCCACAGGTTCAATTTACCTTCATTCTCAAAGTTAACTCCCGCTGACAACAAATGAACATTTCTCCTCAAGCAGAAAGACTCATAGCAGGTAATTATTCTTGTACTTCACATAGTCCACTCTCCGCTTTATTTGTAAAAAAAAAAAAAGAAAGACTCAATCAAGAACAAAAAAATATATGGTGAAATAACGGACTGCACAGAGAACCAATGAAAATATTGTAAATAGTTTATGCTCTAGTTACCAAAGCCTCCCACACTAACATACAGAGCTTCACCTTTGTAGTGAGGCAGATTAAGGAAAACAGACCCACCATCTGTAAATCTCTGTCACATGGAGTTTACTTTTTCACTGAGACTGAAACATCACATTTTCAGGCTGTGATGGAGAACGGATGAAAGGTTGTTAATGTACAGGATAAATTGTGATGGCTCATGACGCCTTGTTTTCTGACAGTATGGATTCTTACGCTCTGTACAGGGAGGACACTGTCACTGGTGTCTTTTGTGTTTGGAATTTGACTATTGTGTTATAGTCTGTTGTTAAAAATATTAATGCTAGTTAAGAAACATAGCTACTACGTATTTTGTATATATTGTGTGTATATTTTGTGTGCTCCCTGTGTGCTCTTACTAC